TTCCAGCTGTGTCCTGTGTGTGCAGTGTTTGGTGCTGGTTTATGATTGTGCGTGCAGTGTTTGGTGCTGGTTTGTGATTGCGTGTGGTGTGTATGCAGTGACGGGCTCCATTCCCTAGGGGAGCACCGTAGCAGCAGCACCCCATCGTGCCCTGCAAGATGCCACCAGTATAGAATCATTTAGATTGGAAAAGACCTTCAAGATCAAGTCCAACCATAATGTACAGCGTTGGAGTGAAAATCCCGGGAGGTTTGCCCCAGTTTTTAGGATTCTGCCACTGACCCCGAATCTGCTGGATGGATGTGCTGGGATCAGATGGGGAGGAACTTGCCTGGTGGAGCAGTTTTGGGAATCCCACTGGTTGACTCTCTCTGAATACCTCTGAAAGCCCAGCCTTGAGCCACCGGCTTTTTTTCCATCGACTTAAAAGTGTCTCTGCGTGGGGCTGCTCCCTGCTGCTCCGCACCAGCTGCTGCTCTCTGCAGCTGCTTGGGAAGATGAAATGAGACCCCATTTTTAGAGGTCACGGAGAAGAGCACAGATAGTTTTCTGCGCAGGAAGCTGCCTTGCTGTAGAAATGCTGAACGTACAGCGATGGACGAGCACAGAAACCGTCGTGGCTGCAGGTCCCCAGCACGGCAGTGGAGGCAGAGCTGAGCGGGGGAGCCTGGTGGGTCGGTACCCGGCAGCCAGGAGCCACCTGCACGGGGAGATGGTAAGGAGCATGGGTGGTTTGTCTGTAACCACTGGCATTGACAAAATTGATTTCTTTTGTGGTTCAAGAGCAGCAGGACAGATTTCATCTCTGGTGGGTCTCCTGACACTGTGATACATGGCAGTGCTGTCCCTGAATGGAGCTGAATACTCCAGGGCTACTTTCTGACTGGATGAAGGGATGTATGAAATGAGGACGTATGGGAGAGTATTAACAGAAAGGCACACTTTGATTTACTGATACTGGCTCCCAGCTTTCTTGGTGGATTGATATGCTGTCTGCTGTATCTGGAACAACTTTTTCCACTCCTGTACACAAAATGAAGGGGCTCCCATGTACTCTTAAAAGTGACTCTTCCAAGTTAGCGTCTCACCAGACACTTTGAGTCCCATGTTAGCTGGAAGTTACATTCAAACCACGTTTGCTGTGTACTTGGAGCAGCTGCAGATGGATCTCACTCAGCATCCTTTTTTCTTTTCCAAAGGGCAGCTTTAGAAAAGGTTTGATGGAAGGAGGGGTTGTGTGTTGTCCTGTGGTTAGCTGGCCTCTCCTACACACAGAGTATGGGTTGTCTTGGGGATTTTACTTGCTCGTATTGAAATGCTGTAAAGGGATCCAACTTCTTTTGTTTTTAGGGCAGTGTTGAGCCACCTGTCCTCAAAAAACACAGGTTGGACATGCGGAGGTAACTCCTGGAAAAGGGAGTACTTCTGAGATTTTTCTCACTAATGATGTATGGCCCAACATTAAAGATGTCAGTTGTGACACTGATGTTGATACAAGGTGGAATATTTACCCCAGAACATTGCACTGCACATTGTAAGAGATGCAGCAAAGCTGCCAGCAGAAGGGGTGGAAGAGGCACAGACTGGGGTTAACTGGGCTGTGCCTGCAGAGTCAGGTCAGGAGGGTTTTATGTGCAGCAAGATACAGCTGCTGTCACAATGCTGTGCCTTCAGTCACTGACCGCTGCTTGGTGCGCTGAGAAGGGGCAGCAGTTGGCTGGACACAGCAGAGCAACACCCAACGGTGGTACTCATGGTGGAGTCAGTGTTGAGTAGCTCTGGGAACGAGCTGTTGGTGAATGAGTGGTGGTAGAGCTTTCACAGCAGTGTTTCAGCCTTGGCCAGTTTGTGGTGCTTGTGAAAACCATGGTGCCGATACCATCTTGGTCCTGAAAGCTTTAGAAACTGAAAATTACCAGGGACTGCCTAGGACCTAACACAGCTCATGGCAGTTGGAGACCCCTGCTCCATGGTCAGGTCATTGCTTGGGCTTGTAAAGGCATCGCTGGCTTTGTTCTGTGAACAGAGCAGGGAAGGGAACAGGAGCCACAGACCTGATGGTTATCGCATGTGAAAGCTGGTTGCCTTAACGTAGTGGCGTGCATGAAAGCTCCGTGTTTGTGACTCCTTTCTGTTTGTCTGTTTCAGACTAGGGGCAGCATTTAAAAAAATGTGTGGGCAGGGGTAGAGGAGCAAGAGGGTTGGCATCCGACTTTCCTTCAAAACAACACAGTTTGCATCTATGAAACAGTTTTGGGTTATGCTGCCTGCATTCACAAATGGCTTCAGTCTTTTCCCCAAAGCAGACAGTGTAAAGGCAGATGAGGGCATTAGAGGAAGAGAAGATGGAGAGGAGACTGGGAAGAAAACAGTCCCTTCTGGAATTAAGCGTGAAATGGATAGGGCAGGGCTGGGTGGGAGGAGGGCGAGGGGGGGGTGACACTTGGCTTCTGAAGCTGAGTTTACAGCACACTTAAGCACCCAATAGTAACAATGAGAATGCTATCCAATAATGCTATTAAATACACAAGAACTGAAAGCACGGGAATTACCCAGCTGTAAGAGGCTCATGATGAAGCCACTGTCTGGAATAATTAGCCCTCCCACCTGGTTAGTCGCACAGTCATTGTCTGCCCTGCCCTCTCCATCCCCTTCACTCCAAATAAAATTGCTCCCCATCCCCACTTCTGTTCGGGTCCATATCTCATAGCCTGGGGGAGCTTGAGCCTGTCTTTATTCCTTGCCTGCTTGCCGTGACCCTGCTATACCCCAGAAGAGCTGGAGTGCTACTCCAGTTGTAATTGACGGGATCAAAGCCGCCTGGGGTGCATTAGCACTGCTGCTGGAGGAGAGGCAGTGGGGAGAAAATAAACAGTTTCGGAAGCTCTGGGGACATTTAGCTGTGTTGCAGGTGGCAGGAAAGATTTTGCTGTTGTAAGCTGTACGCTCAGGCTAGGGTGGGGGCACTTGCCTTTTGCAGGTGATGCTTTAGCTGCAGATGCATACAACAAATGCATTTTTAAGGGCTTTTGTCTCTTGGAATTGTTTTGATGCTAGCACACGACTGGTTTACGAGTATGGCAATCCTGATCCACTAATAGGTTTATATAGAAAGGTTGTCAGAACATACCTAAAATGAACTGCGAGCCAGGGGAGGATGAATCCAACAGCTGATCTGCAACAAAAATCTTAAAGCATCTTCTCCTTGACATTCCTGTTACTGAGGTCAGGCTGTAATTTATCTGAAGATGGTGACAACTGAGCAATATCACAGTGGTAACATGCAGGAAGATTGAGACCTCTGAATGTCTGGGCTGATTTCTGCTTGCACTGTCTGTCTGGCTGATGAAGGTTTGCTGTTTGCTATACCCGTGATCTCTGTGTCCTCCATTAAAAAAAAAAGAAAGAAATAAAAATAATCAAGTGGTGAAAAGTTCTCTCCATTCTTTAATGCTAACTATAGAGAAAGTGAAGCAGGTTTGGGAGCTGAACAAAACATCCCTGCCGACTGCACATCAGTGGAGGAGCAGTCAGAAGAGGTACCAGGGTAGCTCGGGGAATGTCCCACCAGCACAGTGCTGCCCCTGCCACCAGGGGTTGTTCTGGGTGCGTGGGGCGGGAGGCCAACCCTGATCAAATGAATCTGGCAAGAAAACAGATCCTGGAGTGCTACGTTCCTGCAGGCAGTGCATTTTCCTCTTTTCTGTGGGGCCTCTTTGTAAAAGTAGAAGGCAACACACCAGCGTCAGGTAAATATAAACTAATCTGTGTGAAGTTCAGGTTAGGTTTTTTGGTAGAAGCCTGTTAAGTGTTTTACCTGTAAGAGCTGGCCCTGTGATTGATGCGTAGCTATGTACAAAGGGAGAGTTTGTGTAGGCCTAGACAAACACTTGTTTCATATCAGAGCGTTCTGCAGGGAGGCTTGTTGGTTGCTGAAAAAGAACTGTTTTTAAAGAGCAGGTGCTGCAGCAGTGTGCAGTTAACCCTTCCCGTAGTCAGCTGCAACTGTGTGTTCTTGGAGAACATGAGATCATTTTCTCTGTATCTGCATAGATACAGGAAAATTGTCAGCTATGAAAGCCTTTGGGCACACAGCATCAGATCTACATTCAGGATTTGTGTCTGCAAATACCCTGGAAAGCAACTACTTACTGCTGTAAAACTAACCTTCATGCCATGTAGTGTTCATTTTGTACACCTCGCCACCCCAAGCTTCTCTTCACTTTCTCTCTAAGGATCTCTAGGTCTGCAGTTCTGCTTTTCTGATCGGAATCCAAACCTGCCAGGTCATTGTTTAAATTTCGCCCTTAGATCAGATCTCGCTACATTTAATTTTACTTACAGTCTAATTTCTTATACCTCCTGCGTGGTGAGCACAGCAGCATAGAAACCAGCAGCAGTCACAGCTCTGCAGGAGTTCAGTTTTTCTTCTTGCCTGCCTTCCTTTTGCTCCCTATGACACGCATGTTATGTATAAGAAAGAAAAGTCAGAGGTCAAGTTTAGGCAGGATATACGTATATACATTTTTCCCTTATGTTGCTTCCTATTATTCAGCTGAAGCTGGCCTCTGCTGCAGAACTTAACACAGGAGAGAAATGAGTTAGTCAGCAAAAAAGGTTGTTGTATGTGTGTGTCATCAGCCACTTCTGCACAGAGTACTGGCTTTGTCAGTATTTTAATCCTTTAGAGCCTGCAGTCTGAGTGTTTGTTAATGAAACATCAGATCAGTATACTCCCCATGTGCAGCCGTGCCTCCTTTCCTCCCTTTTTAGGAAAGAAGTGTTTTTTCCCGGTGTGGTGGTGGTTGATATTAACAGCTATAAATCAGTTTGAAGATAAAACCATGTCTCTAACTGGTTAGAGAAAAACAGTTAATGTCATATGTGGTAGCTGTTCCAGAAATTCAGATTCAAGATGAGAAACTAAGCACTGCAAAGCTAAGTCTTCTCCAGAAGCAAGGATTGGTGGGAAATTGTCACTTGTGTCTCTTGTTCTGCAGGTTGTAAAGCCCTGGAGGCATTGCTGAAAGTCTTAGTGGAACTTCAGGATGAGCTGCTCTATCAATACCCAGGCACAAGGCATCTGGTAGATGGAAAGCAATCAAAACCAGAGAGGTAAATACAAAATAAGAACTTTCTCAATCCTTTGGTCTCCAGTTCTCCAACAAGCAGGACAGTGCACAGCCTTCCTGACCATGCTCTCTCTCTGCTGTTCTCTCAGTTGCTGCTGGATCTGAGTGACAAACACTCTGAACAAATGACCATCTGAATTCCTTCTGCCACTGTGGGAAACCTGTTTTGAAATCTTTCTGATAACAGAGAAGGGGCTAAACTGCAGGTCCTTTGCCCATGTATCACCATGGTGTGGAAAAAGCATGAGTGGTAGTGGAGGGGCCCTTAAGAATTCACATACGTTGCCTTAGAGAGGCGTAGGATGTTTAGTCTGCGTGTTTTTTTTTCTAGTGATGATGAAATCCCTAGCAGTAGCGATGAAGAGCAAGTGGAAAAGGCTCAGGAGAAGAGGAGGAGCCTCCCCAAGCGAAAGCTAAAGATGGAGGACTACCCAGAATTCGTAGCCAAGCGGTACGCTGACTTCAGGACATATCGGAACAGCGTCTTGCAGAAGTGGCATGAGAAGACAAAGCTGGCATCTGGCAAAATGGGAAAGGCAAGTCTTTGTTTCTGTGTGCTGATGTGCTTATTGTTTAGCAGAGATTTGTGGAACAAGTTGATTCGAAAGTTTCATCTCATGGATGCTCCAAGTTAAGCTGAGAGTTACAGCAGTAAGAATTAAGTACTCAGGTACAGAGTTTTCCGCAGCCTTAAAGGACTTTGGAAAGAAGCTCAGACCTCTGTTATCAAAGGTGTAAGCTACTCTTTTGTTTTGAGCAGATGGAAAGCAAAACAATTTTCAGAGGCAAATGTTTTCCCAACTTTTGGGAAAAACTCTTGGGTAGTGTTGGTGTTCTCCCAGCTGGACAGCCCATCATAGCCAGTTTCCAGCAGCAAGTAAGTTCTATGAAAATGCCCCTCTTGCTGATCAGCTAGCTTTGTAACAGAACTAGGGGCTTCTGGCTCACCTCCCCTGTGAAGTGTGCACTTTGATACAATGGGTAAGCATTTCACCCGAAGATCCAGGATCTCCTGACATCTGTGAGTTAGTATTAATCATTGAGAAGTTCATCTGAACCAGAACAGCAACGGCATTTTTATTAAGCCAGGCATCAGATCGCCTCAGGTTGGGAAGGGAGAGAAAGGGAGAAACAAATAAAAAATCCTAGCAGAAATCCCTGCAACAAAACCCAGACCCCCTCCTCGTGGAATGCTGTCTGCTTATCCACTGACATGGAAAGATAGAGGAGCACTGCTGCCTTGAGGAAAAGCTTTCTGCATTATCTGACACTAGTTAATGTTGTTGCAGGGTTTCGGTGCCTTTGAGCGTTCAATCTTGACTCAGATTGATCATATTATGATGGACAAAGAGAGATTGCTACGGCGGACACAGACCAAGCGATCAGTGTATACAGTGCTGGGAAAGAAGGAACAGGAATCTCATCCGGTCCCTGAATCTGTGCCTGAAAATTCGGTAAGGGTGTTTTGTTTATATAACTCATCCTGCAGCAGCAGCAGTGAAACTCTGCAAAACAATTAGCTTGAGCCTTTAGCAGGTAATATTCTTGTTGTGAGAGATTTATGAAGGAGATATCTGAATGTTGATTCCTGTAAGGTAATGGCTAAGAAAAAGATGTAGACATTTCAATTCCAGTTTTATGGTGTTTTCATTATTTCCTGTGCCAGTTCTTGACAGAGGAAAACAAGGTTTGGTCTGTGATTGTGCCGCTCCTGTGCTGTAGGAACTGATGCTCACTAAATCTGCTTTTCGAGGTAGCAAATACAAAACTTTTTCTTCTGCAGTTTAGAATCTTTAACGCAGAAAGTAACTTCTGAAATCACATTGCACATAGCCTACAGAATATGTTAGTAGTGAGTCTGTTATTAATTTAGTATTTGAGAATGAATAAATACGCAATTCTGAGAGATCATGTAGAATTACTGCACTTGCAAGATGTATTTTTGCCATCACATTAAAAATATCTGTAGTATTTTGTCAGAAAGACTTTACACAGTCCTATTTATTTCCCGGCAAAGGTATCATAAATCTATTTTGGCATTGGCCGAGCGTTTCTGCCTTGCCTTTAAATGTATTCCTAGTTCTTAAAGACTTGTAATATTGGGAGCTTTTCTTCATTCCTTCATATCTTTGAGTGTGTTTACAAACTGCTGCACATGGCGCCCTCAGTGTTGAGGATAGAAATATGAGCTTTCAGTGTTTCCTTTGTGCTTCCAGGAAGTCCTCCTGCAGTCAGATTCCAACAGGCACCTGAAGGACATAGATGAGGAGATATTTGATGACGATGACTTCTATCATCAGGTAGGTGATGGTAAATCTGTGTTGGAATCGTGGCTGTAGGTGGTTTCTGATACTTACAGAGCTAATGTGGTTGGTTCTGTGCTCTAAATTTCTCTTACCAGTGAAAATGAGTTACCTGTTTTAACACCCAAAATCTCTGTAGACACCTCAGAGGACTTCAGTCTCAACTTTCCATACAGGGCTATGTGAGCTCAAACTTTCACTGTGGATGAAAGCTTACTGCCATCATTGGCACTGCTGGACCTGAGTGGGTAAGGGCTGTGCCTGTAGTTCTCAATAGTGAGCATTGCTATGTGAGAGAAAAATTACTGAGCTCTCTGTGGGTAGAGTCCCATTATGAAAAATAATTCTAGTAGATCCTCAGAGGCACCTAAGTTACTCTCATCTGAACTTAAACTATCTCATCTACCTACTGAGTGGAAAAGCTGCAGGGCTCCTCTAGCACTTTTCCTGGAGCTGGGCCAGCTTGGATTTAGGCCAGTTATTATTCTTATTTGCAAAATTCTTAGAAACAAGGAATATGCACCCAGTGTATAGAGGCTGCAGCTTAGGGAAACCTTGTGTTTGTAATTTATTTAATAAATGATGGTGCCACCTTTGTGAAATACTGAAATTGCCACATATTGAGGGGTACAGTACACTGTAAGTCCTTCCCCAGTGCACGAAAAACTAGTTTTGCTCTGATGATCCACAGAGCTTTAACTTCAGGACGAGACAAATATCATTGTAGCATTATAAAGGCAGAAATTTCTGATCTGAATAGTTATTAGAGTGGCTAGTAAAATGTTAGGGCTGTTACCATGCGACTGTGCTCCAATAACTGTTTTAACCCAGAAAAAGCATTTGAGTACTTACAAAATTTGGGGTTTCATGTACAGAGCCAGGACTAGTGATGAATAAAAAGATATATTAAATTGGTAATTCTTATCTGTGTGTTATATAGGAAATACAGAGAACCTTAATGCTGCCTTTTTTTTCCTCTCCAAAAAGTTTTCAGCACACTTCCAACCCTGCTGCTGTAGATGTTCAAGCAAACCTTTGCAGCAGACCTTGACCGAGTGCAGAATCAGGACATTTTGGATATTTAGTGTTTGTGAGGGATCTACTCAAGGCAGCCTGCCTCAGAGCCAGGAGTGTATTCCAAGCAAGCTCCTCGCCAGGCTGTGTATTTATTGTAAGAGCATCTCTGCTGTGAATTGAGCGGCATCTCTTGGACAGGTGAAGGTGCTGGGTCCATCTGCATAGGCTTCAGATTGGAGATTGGAGAACGCCTGTTTTGTCAGCAGCAGTGGTTGAAGAAGCTGAATCTGTGAGGCCATGAGATAATACTGAGGTGGAATTTGAGGTCCCAGTGGGAGCCAAGTGGACCCTAAGAACACAGAACAAATTAAGTTAGCATAACAAAATTGTGAAGTGATTGAGGAGAAATAGCTGTGATTGACAGTCTGTGGACCTGGGCAGAAAAGGTGCTTTTTGCCCATGAAACATTAAATTTTTAAAAGAAAAATAGGAGTAGATGAATGGCCCGTCTTTCCTTCTAATAACTTTAACTTCAATAAATTGTGATTTCAGAAATATGACTAGTCACGGCTTAGCTTTTCCCCTCACTGGTTAATTGGGGTGCTGGGGTTAATCTAAATTAAAACTTAAACTAATAGAGGTCATTGAGGGAAAAGAATCACCTGAGTAAAACAAATGGGTCTGCCAGGCACAACTGTATCTTGGCCATTTCCCAAGAGGGAAGTGGCAGCAAATTGGAGTTGTTTCAGCATTTGGTAGAGGTGAAGGATGGGTGACACCGGTTTAATGTACGGCACCTCCGGAAACGTTCCAGATTGCATTCCTCGCTGTACCAACTGCTGCCTCCCACGCACAGCGAATAGGAGCAGGACCAGCCAACATCTGGCAGCACAGCAAGGAATGGGTGCAACTTCTGAAACCCCATAGACTCTAAATATGGTGCTTAGCCTGGTGGAGGCTTTAATCATTTACCACTCCTTGGCAGTGGGCTACGACAGCTTATCCCAGCCTCGTACATCACGCACAGACATCTGCTGAGCCGCAAGGCAGCTACACGTTCATTTTCCTGCTTGTTTTTTTTCTATCCTTTCCTCTCTCTCTCTCTCCCTCCCTCCCTTCCACCCTTCTCCTCTCTGTCCCTAATACGTTCCTTGGGAGAGATGATCTGTAAAGATTACTGCTTCATTGTGTGCAGGTAGTTGTGGGGACGCCAGCCCCTTGCCAGCCGCACAGCGCCTGTTTTGCTGCCCTGGTTAACGTCTGCTATTGAGTGGGATTTGGCAGAGATTGGAGCTGAAGCCAATTCAGTGATAAGGCTCAAGAAAATGGCTGTATGTTTTCTGTCACCTCCCAATTAAATTGGTTTCATAAAGTGCTTTCCTTTATTTGTCAGGGTGGTAAGCTGGAGCTGAACATTGCATTCAGAAGGGGTAGAGTGCATTACAATAGAGCGCTGACAATGCAGGGAATGTGTTTCCTTTCAGATGGGTTATAACTGCACAGTGCTTTTGTGTGCGTGTGTGATTATTGAGTGGGATTTGGCAGAGATTGGAGCTGAAGCCAATTCAGTGATAAGGCTCAAGAAAATGGCTGTATGTTTTCTGTCACCTCCCAATTAAATTGGTTTCATAAAGTGCTTTCCTTTATTTGTCAGGGTGGTAAGCTGGAGCTGAACATTGCATTCAGAAGGGGTAGAGTGCATTACAATAGAGCGCTGACAATGCAGGGAATGTTTCCTTTCAGATGGGTCATAACTGCACAGTGCTTTTGTGTGTGTGTGTGATTGCACGTGTGGATGTACATGTATAAATAACATGTAGAAAGGGAACTGGCTCTCCAGGAGTAATCGGCAGTGACGTCTCTGGTTATTGGAGCTGAGGTTGCTCAGAAACTCTGACCTCTGTGCGTAAGACTTACTGCAAAGTGTATGCGTACATTTCAACGGGCACTTCTTTTCTCTCTATTTAAATTTAGATTCAGACTTTTTTTAAGTATCACTTTAGTTTTTCTAAACAACATTTTATAATGATCAGTTTGAGTACTGCTTATTAAAGGGAAATATTCAGATAAAGAAGGATGTTGCAAACCAACATCCTGTGTATTTCAGTGTGAAATTAAGCAAGTAAAAATGAACGAGATCTGATGAACGTGCACAAGTTAATGATAACAGAATAAGTAGCTGTAGTGTTCTGTTATAGATTATAATACACAACACATTAATGAATCTGTTCTTCCTGTGGAAAAACAATTTTCTTGTCCGTGTCTTGGTATTTGGTGGAATTCACCATGTGGGTGATGGAATTTTGTGACTATTCAGGATTTAGCTCTGTTCTATCTGTTCATCCCACTTTGCCTTTTCTCATATTCTTTGCTTGTTTTATAAGCAGTTATAATTTTTATTGTGGTGGCCCATGTTGAATGGTCATGTAAAGCTGAGCTGAATAATGCAAGTGAAATATTTTTATCTGGGTTGCACTGGGTGGGAACAGTTAAACCCTTTCAGAAGGATCCTCATTGCCAACACCAGTGAGGGGCTAGACCCCATTTCCTTTTCTTCTGAACTCTCCTTCATACATGATTTTAAGGGAAGAAAAAGGCTTTTTATTTTTAGAAGTCAAATTTAAATAGAATTCATTACAGCTGATATTGCAGCATTAAGACTTGAAATTCCAGCCTGCTACCAGAGAGCTGCTGGTCTGACATGCTACAGTGGAGATTTTATTATTAGGTTGAAATACTCGTCTAGTAAAGGAGAGAGTGGAAATTGGTTTATTTCCAACAGGAATTAGGTTAGTGTTCATATGTTAAGCATTCCACTGGTAGCAGCTCTTCCCAGAACAAATGTTCATCACTGATGGCAGCAGGTATGCCTAAGGAGAATTAGGAATATACATAATCCCTTTCTTTCGCTGCTTTCCTGCTCTGTCCTCACTCTGACTGGTTGTGTGGTATGTCACTGCATTTTATAACGACCTGCGGTCACTGGTTTTGTCTGTGATCACCACAATTTCCAGAAGCCTGAGCAAGAACCAGGGTGGCTGGGGAGGACGCTTGTCCCTCAGCATCCCACTGCTGTGCTGAGATGAACTGGGACTGGCTGGGATTTACACCCCAGGTGAGCACGGCTGAGTAGTGAGGAAGAGGCTTGCTCCCTTCCTTACCTGTACCCTAGTTACTTAGGAAAGGAGTTGATCCTGTAGAAAACATGGTTTAGTTGTAGGACTTGTCATTTATTGCCGTCCCTTGTGGAGCAGCACTGTACATGCCTGCCTGCTCTTGCATGCTCCGTGTGACGGTTGTGGTTGTCACGAGTTTATGTTCTGGGTTGTACTTGTGTCTCAGTCACGTTGTCTGGCTTTTAGAAAACTCTATCTGATGGGGTTGATTTTCCTCATGTCCCAACACGGGTTGGCCTAAAGCAGTTCCTGGGCACACACTGTGGTTTTCTCTCCCAAGTATTTGATAATGCCATAAACAAGTAATTACTAATCCAGTGAACTATTAAAAGTCGATAATGGTGAAGAATAGAGAGAAGACTGGCTTTCTGACAAGCTGGTTTACCTTAATTAAACTGGTGAGTGATTAATATGGACAGCTGATCTTGTGGCTTTAATTAGATGCATTTAGGGTTTTGTGTGAATAAGAGATGTCTCGAACCATCCCACAGGTTAATGGCAATACAATACTCTTATCACAGGCATGTATCTTTCAAATGGCTGGGTAGATGGTTAATAACACGTTTTAAAGCTTGATTTGAAACTTCTCTTAATGGGTTATTAAAAAATACTCGAGTCAGTGCCTATTTTATACAAAACTGAATTTTAATAAAATGTTTTTTTAAAAGGCACTGTCCAGTGATTTAATCTTGCAGTTCAGGTTTTTACATTAGAAATGGATTGCAGAAAATTAAGTTTTAAAAAAGTGTTTCAGAGGGATTTAAAAATATTTGAGCTTCAGTCTAAATGTTCTCTGGTGTTGCT